TTGAAGCCTTGCTCCCAGGAGCACCGGACGACAACGGCGATCGGGTCCAGCAGATTGAAGCCGTCGGCGACTCAACGAGCGCGGGTGCCTTGCTCGTGCAAATGGCTGGTGCTGTGATGCTTGCATGCCTGAGTGCATCAGTTCATGTGCCATGTATAGTATGTACCGACTGTGGCGGAGGACCAGGTGGTGTATCCGGCGCTGGTGGTGTATCCCTCGTTGATGCTCGTGTGCGTTCTGCTGCCGTCCAGCGCCAGCGTGGCGTCCGGCGTGACGATGATGTCGTTGGTGGTCACCGGGGACGGCAACTCCAGGAGCTTCCTGTCCTGCTTGGACAGCCAGGATGGGAACGTGGTGCCTTCACGTGACGGCACAACTTCGGTGGACGGCGGGGCACCGCTACTGCTCCCGACCTTGACCTTCCTGACGTGCAGCGCCAGCACGGTGCTGGCGAACCGGCGAGTTCAACTACCTGCCTGCGCACGGCGTCGCTCCCCACAGGATTGTCCGGCAGTGGCAGGGTGTCGGTGGCTAGGCTGTCGCGGCACGTGCCCTAGTTCGTCAGCGCGTCGCTGAGCCACGTCGTGGCCCCGTCCGCGTCGGCCGTGGACCCCGCGAGCGCGTTGCAGAGCTGCGCGAGGCCGGCGCAGTCGTGCATGCCAAACAGCGCTAGCGCCGCAGGCGCCGCCGCGGACGCGGAGAGGTTCCACGCCAGCGCGAGCGCCGTCGTCGCCTGAACCATCGCGAACTGGACGGACGGCGCGAACGGGTCCCGCGCCGACCGCGCTCCGACGACGACGTGACGTTCGTGCTGGACACCGGCGATGTGGCCGCGATCCCTTAGACGGCGGCCACGTTGCCCATCATGCTGCCTTGTCTCTGTAACAGGTCGCGCAAGAACCCGCGCCACTCGACGACGATCCCGCCGCACGCGCTATTCCCAAGCGAGAGCAGCCTGATGCCACGTGTGCAAAACCAGGGTTCCAAAACCGCTTTGGGCCTCCTATGATACATTTAGCAAATTTAGCGACCTGAAAATTTAGTTTTTGGAAAACATGGACCTACTTAAGAACACGGGACAAGTTCAAAGACCTCCAGTAGATTTCACTCTTTTTGAAACAGATGATGTTTAGAGAAACTAATTAATTAGCAAACAATAAACTAATTAGTTTGATCTAAACTTCATATATTTTGAAAAAGATGAAGTATCGTATATTGTTAATTTATATTATTGTTAATTTATATTATGTCACACAAGTTAATTAATTATTACTCGTCGCCCGAAAAAAGAATAAGCTTCTAGCTGCGACAGTAGCTTTTAACTTTGTCTAAGAAAATGCATTTTTAGCTTAACTAATTGAATTAATTGGGGTTTGTGCATGCACAAATTCTTTCCATAATTGGTCCTAGTTTCCTGATTTGGGGCATATGCAAACTCCCAACCCACTAGAATGGTTTATGTGTTTATTAATTAGAGGAATTCCCTGTGTGCCATTAAAAAAGATCGCAATACCCTGTGTGCCCCTGGAAAAGTTCAGCGGTCGTCAATGCCACTACTTCAACTTTTTCGTGCCCTCCATGCCACTACCGTCAGTTTGAGCTCTAACGCCGTCAAACTGCAGGGGTGAAAAGTCGAAAATACCCTTAAGTGTAAATATGTCATTAATTTTTTTGAGCATCTTAACGACTTCAAATAAAAAAACTCAAAACTAGAAAGTTGTAGATCTCGTCGAGATCTATAATTTTCATTTAATTCCGCAAAAAAATATGATTTGATATGATTAATATATCTTAGAAAAATTATATCTTTTTTTGCGGAATTAAATGAAAATAATTTTTATATGAAAATTATAGATCTCGACGAGATCTGCAACTTTCTAGTTTTGAGTTTTTTCATTTGAAGTCGTTAAGACGCTAAAAAAAATTAATGACATATTTACACTTAAGGGTATTTTTGACTTTTCACACTTGCAGTTTGACGGCGTTAGAGCCCAAATTGACGGCAGTGGCATGGAGGGCACGAAAAAGTTGGAGTAGTGGCATTGACGACTGCTGAACTTTTCCAAGGGCACACAGGGCATTACGATATTTTTTAATGGCACACGGAGAATTCCCCCATTGAGGTGATAACTAAGTAAAATGGTGATGTGGTATTGAAATTAAAGAAGGGAGATGAGGAAAGAAAATATATCTACATGAGAACTAAGCCATAAAGAAATATGATAGGTAAATAATGGAGAAAGAAGACATATGATTGGTCAAAATTTTATTTTAAAGACACTACCCATTAAAAATATAGTTTTTATATAGTGTCTACATAATTTAATAGGCATAAACAACTCTACATGTGGTTTCTCGTATTGGGACTACCCTTACAAACACAACAAACTTAATTATTTAGGGAATCAAGGTCCTCTATTCTTCTGGTAATCTGTGTACAACTTTTTAAAACTGCATTCTCTTTTTGCAACAGAGGGACAAATCCATGTTGTGTGATTATGAATTGTAGGCCACTTGCCCTCATCTTTTTAACAAGTTATGTTTCATGTCCAAGCCATGATGATACAACTTTCTCTTTTCTACTCAATTATTTGTATGCCACATCACGAAATTCTCAACTCTGTGGTCTTAGAGCACTCCCAACCCCAAAACTAGATGGTTTCTATTTTTATTACTCCCTCAATCCTGAAATATAAGGGATAGATTCAAAAAAAATTCTAAGTTAAGCTATGTTAACTTTGACCAAAATTATAGAAAAGAATAATAATAGCTATGGCATCAAATTAGTTTGATACATTATGAAATATATATTTTCATAATTTACATCTTTGATGTAACAAATATTAATATTCTTCTATATAAATTTGATCAAACTTTGCAAAGTTTAACTTAAGACAAACTTGGATCACTTATATTTTAGAACAGAGGAAGTAATTAGGGTGTTAACTAAGCAAAATGGTGATGTGATGTGCCCACTGAAATTAAAGAAGAGAGAGAGGAGGAGGAAATGGTTTCTTAAATAAGACACTCACTACTCCAGAACAACACATCACTGTCGGTTCGAAAACCTCATCACTGCTCGTTTTTTGAACCGGTAGTACAAAATCGACAGTGATGAGGTTTCGAGAAAACCCAGAAAATGGTCTGAAAAATAGCAAAAAAATCAATGCTAGGAGAGACCCCACTGGACAGCCTAGCGCAATTTTTCACGCAAAAAATGCGCGCTTCATGGCCGGCGGCTCTCGAACCCATGACCTCAGGCTTCGCGCGGTTCATCCCCTAACCATTCTACATGTAAGACACTTGTGTCCATTTGGGATATTCGTCCTCCCTGTTTTATGTTTATTTGGTTCTGAAATGAGTATTTGGGACCCTAAATGAATTCAAATGAAAAAAATTGTCAACACTATAAAGTTGCATAATTTTTCAAGATCTATAACTTCGAGGTCGTTTGAAAAATTCGAATTTCAAATGTGAGAATTCAAACATAATTTTCGTCGGACAGGTCATTGCAAATGAAAAAGTTGTCGACTACAAAGTTACATAACTTGTGGAGATCTATAACTTTTGTTTTGGTCGCTTCTCCATCTGCGATCCTTAACTACAACTACACATTCAATTATTACTATAGAGCATATGAATTCCTTTGGTATTAATTTATATAAAATCTTGTGAATCAAATATTTCGGCATCAAAATGACTTCAAATAAAAAAAGTTATAAACTACAAAGTTGCATAACTTTTTGATATCTACAACTTTTAATTTGGTTGTTTTGTCCATCCGAGATTCTTTTCTACCACTACACATTCACTTATGACTATAGAGCATATGAACTCTTTTGGTATTAACTCTATAAAATCTTGTGATGCATAGTTGAACATTCAAACGATCTCAAATAAAAATTGTTTTTTATCATAATATATATTTAATTAAATAGTAAAAACTACGCATATAGAAAAGCTAAACGTCTTATAACTTCAAATACCTAAGCAACCGCAGTACTCAATTATTATAGGCCACAAAGCTTTAAGTTTCTTCTGCAAAGAAAACGATAGGACTATAGGAGTACCGTTGCAATAATTGGTTTGCATGATGCGGTATCTGGTCATCTTCCGCTACATCCATATACATTTGATGCTTCCCAAAAAAACTATCTTGTTAGGTTTTCTGAACTGTTAGTAGCCGTACGAAAAAAATTCTCCTGCTAGGTTTGGAAACTGTTAAAATTGTTGAACCAGGCTTTTAGCAATGAAAATTACATATAGCACCTTGGTGATTCTCACAGAACAGTGTTGAGTCGGCGTTCAGTATAAATTGAGGAAAGGTACTCTGTTATCTCGCAGCAGTCTGCCCCTAGCCATTTGCTTCCTTCTATCGGTTTGCAGCTTTGCGCCAAACCTCCATTGGACTTCTTCTTCGAGTGCTGCAGAGTGGTAAGAGCATCTTATTTTGCCCTTGTTCTTTGTCGAGAGGCGGCAAAAGCTTTGCCGGATTTTTATTAGACGAGGAAAAAAGGAAACAAAAAGGGATATTACAGAATTACAAGAACAAGACTACACTCGCCACTACTCTAGCACACAGGCCAGCTCCCCAACTCTGTACAGCACCTGCAGCAAGAAAAACCCAAAACAACAGAAATCATCCAACCCTTAAGTACAGAGAAAAAACCAAAACGCCTGGAGCTGTGATCAAAAGGTTTGCACATTTTGCCCTTGTTCGTCCCATGTCTATCTGGCTTTCATCTCTTCTCCATAACATGTAACGCAGCTGATGGGAAACTGTTTGTTTCCTTAAATAAACTAGTAACCAGAGCTTCTAATAGTGCACAGAAATAAAGCTTTCAGTCATAAATTTCTCCAGGTACTTCTGCCAAATGTTTATCTGAACTTGTTGCTTTTTTGTTCTGACATGTGCATATAATCAAGATCGAAACTTGACCAAGTGATCAGACGTAGTCATGATGCTGCTTCCTACAATTGGACAGTTCCTCATAGTGCTCATGGCGTTCTGTACCCAAGGTGTCACCTGCTCCTTCAATGGAAACTATACGGATAAGGTATCACTATTGGAGTTCAAGAACAGCATCAGTGATCCACGACAGTCCTTGATATCTTGGAATGATAGCACACACTTGTGCAGTTGGGAAGGTGTCCAGTGTAGTGTAAAGCACCCACTTCGGGTCACTTCACTTCGTCTTATCAATCAAGGTTTGGTTGGTCCAATATCTCCTTCACTTGGAAACCTGACATTCCTAAAAGTCCTAATACTATCGGCCAATTCATTGGTCGGTGAGATCCCTCCATCCCTCGGTCATCTGCATCGCCTCCAGATCCTTAATTTAAGTAATAACACGCTTCAAGGCACAATACCCAGTCTTTTAAATTGTTCAAATCTCAAGGGCCTGTTCTTGGAGGTGAATCAGCTAGCCGGACAGATTCCTGAACATTTGCCTTTTGGCCTTCAAAAGCTGGCACTTGCCGTTAATAACCTTACTGGAAACATTCCCTCTTCTCTTGCCAATATCACAACGCTGAATACATTTACTTGTATGTGTAATAATATTAAGGGAAACATCCCAAATGAGTTCACAAAATTGTCAGCGCTGCAAATCCTGTATGTTGGCATCAATAAGTTGTCAGGTCAATTTCCGCAGCCTGTCCTGAATCTTTCCAGTCTACTTAAATTTAGCGCCGCTAGCAATGATTTTAGTGGAGAGGTACCACCCAATATAGGCAATTCTTTACCCAACCTCCAATTGCTACAACTAGGTGCCAACTTCTTTCATGGTCATACTAGAAACACATGCGCAGCTTTGCCGCGCCATCGTTGGAGGGGGCCATGGATGATAAATCCTTTATTCTGGAAGTAGGCATATGGGGTATTGACATTTGTTTGGGTCCATAATTATTTCATTGTATTTGATAGAATAGAAAATTTCAAATTCTATTTGCACATTTGCATAGGGATACAACAGTCATTGGAAATTATGAGGTGGCTAAATGCTCATGAAAATTCTTGTACTTTAATATATTCAATAATGCCTGGTGTGCCTCTACATGTTGTAAAAAAGTTAAGTAACTCTTAGATAGGATCATATTCCTTTTACAACAGTTCCAAGCAAAAAAAAATGCTTATCATGTGATACTTGCCTGATGAAATATGGTCTCTCTGAGTTTCATGATTGCAGTTGTGAAAACTGAATCATATTTCTCTTATCATGTAAAATGGATAGAAATCATGTTGCCATTTAAAATCGTTGCATCTATTAACAAGTTTGTTATAAAACCTGCATTAGCTTTGCATATAAAAACGTGAAACTAATAAGTATTGAAACATTGAGATCCTCTAAGATGGAAACAAGCAATCGTACTGAAAGGATGTTGAAAATAGACACATACTCCCATTGTGACACCTTGCAGCACAAAATCTCCACAGAGTGACTATGGTTTTGGGTGGCTAGCATACCAAAGGGCATCTTCAGATGTTGAAGCTTGTACAGTTTTGCTGTTGAACGATAACTTTATTTATAGCCTCAAAACTTCAATAGGCCATGAAAAGGATGAGGATGATAGCCCTGTCATCAGCTCTGTTGTTTCATGGATGTATTGGCCGCTTCCATCTTGGAAATTCTAGTATAACAGTAAAGCAATAAGAATTTCTACCAAATTGATCTATGTAAGTATTACATTCAAATTTAATTACAGTTTAAATTCGATTTCTCTAAGTATTATAATATAATTGCATGATCTAAAATCTGAGGTCACACTGCTATGTACCCACTTACTATATATAAATAGAAATTTCAATCTATGTCCACTGCATGGACAGCACCATGTGTGGAGATACACGGCTGCAAATACTGTTATAAGGACAACACCATGCGTTGAATACATAACGATTCTCTTCCAAATCTGTTTTTTCTTTCTTTCTTCAGGCCTATGAATCGAATACTAACGTATGAATAGCTTAGAGCTTCCATCCCAGCAAAGCAGCCAGAATATTCATATGGTCTCTAGTACGGATAATGGATTAGTTGAAACAATTCCAATTTCCGCGAAGGGAAATCCACAGAGTCGAAGTGTAATAAGACCGTTGTAAATCATATTACCCAAATTCCAGTCGAATATCACATCCATACAACGATAATATCAGAGTACAAATAGTGCGAAATTACATAAATTATTACATCGCCGCATTGGCGGAATCAAAGTAGCATTCATTCAGAACAGCTTGAAGATAAGATCGCCAAACTCGAGCGTAGGAACGAACCCCTCAACCGTCAAACTCCTCAGACCTAAACTCCTCAGCAGAACCTGTGTGCCAAAATTTATCAGTACGATTTGTACTGGCCACTCCCAACCCTATGAGCATTGCTTTGTGAAAATTGGATGCAAGTTGGATATAATCAAAAGGAACCTATAAAGCTGGGGTTTTCTATGTATTAGCATATCAAGTACATAATAATAGTTGGTCAAATTTTAACACCATTCTCACACATTCCACCCCATTCCCATTCCAGAGCCAGGTTTCGATCCTGGGATCGATATACCACCATCTCCACACCATCACCATACCATACCCATACCATCGCTCAGTCGACAGGCCAACTCCCTCTCGGCACTGTCTCAAGGCCCGTAGCCCCTGGCTACGTCCGAACACTCACTCCCGGGGGGAGAAAAGAAGGACTCATCTCACTATCTAGTTTAAGCGAAACCCAGGAAAGGTCCATAACCGACAAGTCGGCATATGTATCGATCGATCAACCATACACTCTGCAGAGGTTTTACAAAACCACAAGATCCGCCTTCCTCGCTGACCGTCGTCAACTGGGCTGATTCCGGCCGCTTGCTAGCCTAGGATAATGCCACTCTACCATTCAGCCCTGGTACACCCCAAGTCCAGTCTGGGGTGGCTGAAACTGTGAGTCATGAGCTGGGTCCACAAGGTCTCCATGAAGTCTCGGAAGGGTGTGGGGGGGATCCTCCGTGCCCCGTACCTCCCTCGCACTGTCCGCTATCAACCTAGCAGTAGTGGCAATATCCTACCAAGTAGTCCGGCCGTCCCACACCATATAGGGCAAGTGGTACGTAAGGCTTCCCAGTGAGTCTGAGTACTAGTAAGTCCTTAGGGATGACCAAGCCAGAATGTCTTCATCAGGGTTTTCATTTACCGTGCCACCACAGCACCTCAACCCTGGGCTCCTCCCATCACAGGATCACACCCAGGGCCACCTCATATACCATTTACCCACCATAGGTATCCATTCCAGGGGTGCCCAGGTATGATGAGGACATCGCCAAGATGGAGTCGAGGACGACTCCAATTCGAGAAGGGGAGGATGATGAGGACATCGCCATGCTGGACACACCGACGCCATGGTCTTCCCCAAGTTGCAATTCGTTCCCAACTCAGCTACCACATCGCTCTCGGATTCAGCAGACACGTCGTCACTGTTTTGGTCATAACTTTCTCATACGACATCGAAACGGGCCGTTCTTGGATGCGTTGGAAAGGGGACGACGACGCCGTCGTTTTGGATCTGGTCCCAGCTCCAGAAGGTCCGTGGATCATTCTGTGTGACCACGGCAAGGTGCTGCGTCACCTATTTGGGCCAACTTGGCCATGTATCGTGTCGGGCCTTAAGCCCAAGTTGTGGGCGCCCAACCCCTGGCCGTCCCCAACCCTAGGTCGAGTCTTAGACTATAAACACAGCGTGTGACTAGCCTAAGAGCAGGGTGAGCAGGGGTAAGGTTGCGTCAAGGTAAAGGCCATCAAGCAAGCATACTACCATGCAAGTCCTACCATAGTGTAATCATGCCAATAAAGTAAGCACTAGCTTTTCTATATTAGCCATGCATAATAGGTGCTACGAGATTGGGTGGGATGTGGCACCTTCAGTGTAGTCGTCTCCGTACTCCTCACGGTACTCACGATCCTCGTCTGTCCGGTTCTCCTACGAGTCTGCAAACGATCGCATTATAGTCGCGTTAGCGACGTCTATAGAATAGCACAAAGAAGCAATGAAAATTCAAAAGAGCCAAATGCACTCAAATATGGGTTCATTGCGTAGAGCTCGATTTTAGATGAATTTTGGTCCTGGTTTCGTATTTTTATGAGGTCATATGAATTAGTTATGAATTTATGAAGTTTAAATCATTTATGGAAATGGAAAAAGGCTGAATTAATCCTGGGCTGACACGTGTCATGCTGTGGTTGGTCCAGGTGGTTTGCTGACGTCAGCATCACGGTTTCGAGCTGACAGGTGGGGTCCAGCTGACGTCAGCAACGTCATCCATTCCGACAGGTGTGGCGATGACGTCAGCAACGTCATCCATTCCGACAGGTGGGGCCAGAGACTATTAGGTCACTGACAGGTGGGTCCGGTCAAGTCAACGTCAGTCAACAGCGAGTCAACGGTCAATGGTCAATAGTCAGGGTCACTGACGTGTGGGGCCTGGGCTGCTGACATCAGCAGCTGACATCACCGTGACGTCAGCATGACGTCACCCTGGCTGCGCTGGCTTCTGACGTGTGGGTCCCGCGTGACGTCAGCATGATGTCATCATCTGACGTGTGGGTCTAGTGTGTCTATGCCACTGACACGTGGGACTAGGTCAACGGTCAACATGGACTGGGTCTCAAAAGGGCTCCAGCAGGCTTCGGGTTGGGCCGGTCTAGGCCGGGCCGGGCCGGACACGTGGCAAACTATGGCGTTGCCATGTCACGGCCGTGGGCCTCTACTGGGCTTCGTCCACAGCTCGCGGGCATGGGCGTGGCTCACGGTGGACTAGGTGGTGCTGGTCCATGGACCGCAGACAGGTCTACGGTGGACCGTATCCACCCTCCTTCTCTCAGGCGCGGTCCTTGTGCACCGGGTGCACTCGTGGGTGGCCGGCGAGGGGGGTGTTCCCCTGTTTCTCCCGCGGCGGTGCTCCTACCGGCGGCGAGCCTCGTCGGCGAGCCATGTCGTAGGTGCTGGCGTCCAATTGAGGAGGGGAAAAGCTCCCCCAGACCATGGCGATCACGATGGAGGGGTCTAGGTGGCGGTCGGGGCTTCCCAGGGTGCTGGCCACGGCGAATGGCGGCTCGACGTGGCGGTGCTCGTCGGCGAGTCACAGACAGGGCGATGTGGTGGTTGGAAGCTTGCTTGGCGGGGCGCGTTAGCTTCCCGTGGCTCCAGTGAACGGGGTGGATGAGTCAAGGAAGCTCTAGGCGTTTCCAGTGGTCCTGGCCACGGTGGTGGTGCACGGCGGAACTCCGGCCGGTGATTCGGTGCTCGTGGCCGGGGCGCTGCGGTCGGCTGTCGATGACTCGGTCTTCGCGGCTGTCCTCTAGATGTCACTGTGATCCTCTACGGCTGCGTTCTAGTCCGACGAGGCGGCCGTGTGTGCCAGCGGTGGCCGCGCAATGGCGGCGGCGTCGTGAGCGCGGTGTGCGCATGCTCTCTGCTACGGCAGTCAAGGGCTCGGAGGTGGTCGCGGGTGTGCACGTGAGTGTGCTGTGCTTGTGTACCAAGAGGCCGGAGATGGCCTTGGCCTACACGCTCCCAGTGTAAAGCATCATGGCCAAACAGCGAGGTCCGGCGGCGAGCAGGGGAAAAGGCCAGGGCTCACCATTGGTGTCGTGGAAAATTGGATGGTGAAGCAGTGGCAAGTTGCGGCCGTGTAGCTCTGGAAGTCGTGCCGTGCAGTGTCGCCCGCTCCGGCTTGATCCACGGCGGTGCTTCGAACCCCGGCGTGCTACCGGTCCTCTTCCCGGCTGCGGCTCCGCCCTCTTTGCTCTTCTCCTCCCCTTGGCACTCGTGTTGGGTGGTCTGGTGGATGACCACAAGTGGCGGCGGGGCATGGAAGGGCGCTAGGGCACCCGAGG